CTGTGACAGTGTTTGTTCTGGATTACCGAGCAAGTAGTACATATAGAAGTCTTTGTGTGTGTATGTGTGTGTGTGTATGTGCGTGTGTGTGTCCCGGTGCCGGCTGACCGTGCGTCTCCCCGCAGGTGTTCTTTGACCTGATGCGCGAGATCCGCTCGCGCAAGTCCGACGACAGCCGCACCGCCAACGGCAACGTGCGAGACAAAGTCAAGCGGAGAAAAATCAAGTGCGCCATTTTGTAGGCCCGCCTCATCGCCTACCGCCTCCATTATCTGTGTATAAATTGTATTTACGACGGTCGCCCCTTTTGGTGCTGCTATTTTATTGAATACTGTTCCTAATGAATGAGGGCATCCGCGACATTTTCTGCCACCAGTGCGGCGCTACTTTGGATTGAGGTGAAATATTTGACAGATTTTATAGATGAAAGAAAAATGTTGGGGTTAAGATTTATTTCTGTAATATTAGTTATAAATTTAATCAAATTAGATTAAAAATGAGTAAACTAAACTACCAATATTCCTAAAAATAGAAAAAATAAAAAAGCCACCAAACCACTCAGGCATTGTTTTGTGTATTAACATAATAATTTAGAAACTAATACACTTTAATTTGAAACTAACTTCTCGTTTAAATTACATATAAAACGTGTAACAAAAAGCTTCCCCTCAGTCCCAACTAGCGACATCTGGTGAGCGGAGGATTTTAAACCCTCATTTCTGTAATTGTTCGGAATGTAACGACGTTCTAAATGCCGGGCTCATTGCGAACAGAATTCCATAAACATTTTTGTTATTACAGAGCGTTGCGTTTGCGCGTTATTTTGTAATTATATTTAGTGTCTACATAATTTTTGATCTTAACATTAATACAGACAAACAACCGCTAAAAGAATGGCGTATCTCCACCGAATCATATAAATGGAAAACTCATCAGTTACATTTTGTGGAAGATGTTTTTTACTACTAAATAATTAATTTAAACGTTACGTTAAACGTTAAATCTTACATGCGATTAGTGTCCGACCGAAGGTCGATTTCTGGCCGAAACGAATGCCGTTTAAGATTGGCTAACATTATTAATATAAATTATTTTAAAACATTTAAATTAAAGGTTTTCATTGGCTGTGTAATATAAAAAAGGTAATTGTAATCAACTCTAGAAATTAATCTACAGATGATAAAAATTACGTCGCTCTCGCTCATTCATGACAGTTCGTTCAATTTCGGCGCTTGCCAGAAAGAAACCTTCGATTTGGGTCAAAATGGGCCTGAGTTTTGAAACTTCGGTTGGACATGTAATGAAAAATCTCTCGAAGATTCTGTACGTTAAGTGCGCTCATAATTTAGGTGTGGTGTCGTGCTTGTTGTCGCACATGTTTGCATGTGCACGTCAGAATGTAACTTGTTGTATTTATTGATTAGCTTTTAAGGGCTATGTTATGTGTCGTGAATTGTGTTGTGCGGTTATAGAAATATTGTATTAAATATTATTCTACCCACATGCAGACGAAAATTCGGTAGAAAAAGGTAAAAATATACCTTTTAACTTTGACTAAAATGATATATTATATTCATTATATAAATTTTGGTTTTTTTTTAATACTTTTGTAATAAAATATTTCTATAAAAATGCACGGAATGTTTGGAATTTGTTTGTTTCCATCTTGGGACCGGTTCACAGAGCCTACACTGACAGCATTCTATATTATTTCAGCTGTCTTTATTAATTAAAAAGGCACATATAATGAATTAAACATTGTTTATGAATAAGCAGACAACAGTTTTCGTGTTTACTCGCTATTAGATTTATTTTAAATTTTAATTACCGTTCAAAAACTATCTATAAATTTAAATTAAAACTACGAATTTCAACTAAAAGTTGCCATTAATATTTTCGAAGTCGTAGTTTTTTGTGAACGGTCTTGCGATGATTTGCTTCAAAGATTTACTGTAGGTTACAATGTATTTATAGCTGTGCCCACTCTGTGTCGATCGATCTATGTTAGCTATCGCTGTGCAATATGCTCCACTTGTTTTTATTCACTGGTAATGATACACATAAGATTAGTTATGCTCCCGAATATGTGAGGCCGAATATATGTCCAGTTGTGGGATTTTAGGCTGTCACTTAAGACACCCGCACAAGCTTGTGGTAACTTAAAGAAATAAGCGCCAAACACGGGTAGGTGCTAAATTTCATGAACTTGATCGTGTTTATTTTTCGTCTTTCTTTATCAAACCGTAGCAGTTCATTGCTGTACATAAACCTCTCCCATATTGGGGAGGATTAGTCATAATCCCACACTTGGCAGCGGATTGGCTACCGCACAGACGTGTCTCACCTTTGACGCTGATTCTCATCGAGTTTCTGTCGATTATAATAGGCACCTGTACAAAACTTCACATTTCTTTGTATTGATTTGAATAATGTACTCTTGGCGGTTTTGATATACATTTGATAACAGGATATATTATAGTGCCTCGTAAGTAAACAGAGGCTTTGACTCGTCTTTCCGTGCCGGATGTAACGTCTTTGTGATAATGTCGGAACGGGGCTTAGAAATAGAACCTTATTGTAACTCCGCGTAGAGTCTAAAATCAAAATTTAGATAAATTGGCTCGGATTGCTATCCAAACCCGTAACACACCGTACCTCTGCTGGATCTCTTAACCTGAAGATCGTTTATGACGTAATATGATCTTTGTGTTAGCTTATATAACCAGTCCTATGCATAGGGATGATAGCCGTACAAATATTATACGGCTTTATATATATATATATATATATATATATATATATATATATATATATATATATATATATATATTGCCTCAATAAATCATAAATGCACTTTTTTGAATAAGTTTAATGAAAATGGAATGGCACAGATACAGATCTATATAGCTATAGGCGTAGCCAATAGTTTTTCTGGGGTAGACACAGATCCTTTTCTCGCTGCATTACTAGACAGTGTTATTTATTGTTCTTTTTGTGGAATTGGAGACGTCAAGCTTTCATGGAAGCCGTGACCCTTCATATCTACGTCCATGCATAATAAAGCTTTTGTTTCTAATTGATCCTATTTTGTGTTACTATTTGGTCATATAAAATACATCAACTCAAAATATTCTCATACAAGATTCCTCAATAAAATTAATTTTTTTAACAATGTGCCAATATGGTGTGCATTTATGAATGAGACTTAATTTATGTTATATATTTATTTCATATTTTGTCACAAAATATTTTCATATTTTATGTAGCACTGTCGCTATCTCAATGTTCTTATTGTTTATTGTTAAAGTTCAAATTATATTGTGTGTTTAAAAATTTCCTCTAACTTGCATGCGAGTTATTAATTAAGCTTGTTCGCTTTACATACGCAGTGTAAAGTGTGTTATGTCGTAAATATGATTATTTAAAACACATAACTTTATTCTATTCTTTCATAAGTTTAGAAATTTGCTAGCCATTTTATATCAAATGTAAATTTGTATGCCTTATGTCTATTAATGTTTGTATAAGACACATGCTGTGCACACGTGGTGAATACCAATGAATTATACAATGTAATTATGGTTCATTGTATGTTTATGTTGTATTTACAATCTTGTGTAACTGTGGTTCAAAATATTTGAGATTATTTTGATATTGAACAGACAGATTTATTGAATATTCTTATTTAACCATTCACATACTAAAGCAGTCACTTTAAATGTTCTATTTAAACCTCCAATTATAATTAATAATTCACACGCTGCCTAAATGTAATAAATATGTGGAATATTCAAGCAATTTTGCCTATATCCTTACATCTGTGTAATTTGACAACTGTCACTATTACATCCTTGGGCCCTGGTTCATGTTTCCTTCATTAGAGGTTAAAGTGTATTTTGTAATTTTGAATGTATGTAAAACATGATAAAATAAAGACTGCCAGAATTAGGCTTCTTATATGCTGCCCACACTACTGCGTACGCGGTGGTTGTATCAAGGCTGGTTTGAAGATAACTGATAAAGATAGTCGACAGGGGGGGGAGAGGGAGAATTATTTTTTAGAACATACTAATACAAATAAATTTTATAGAAAATGGGTAAATTTTATAATTACAGTGGTTACTAATCTATCAAAGTCTTTACCAGTTATTTACGAACTACCCACATTCTCTGTAAGTTAGCTTAGTGCTTAGACATATGTTTAATTATATGTATGTGCGTTGCGTATATCAGATCGCACCCACACATTATTATGATACTGAAGACAAGCAGGAAATATACAGATTTACAAAGCTTTGTGTATTATTTGTTTAAAATGTTTTAAATCGCAAAAACAAAATTCAGTGTTTTAAAAACTGGAAAGTCTTACAATAAACTAACTTTAGACGACCTTCTAACATATTTACTAATTAAATATGCATGGTAAAACTCAAAATATAAACGCAGCACATTTTTAAATTCAACATCTGTAAAACCGACGGAAAGAAAAACCGTAAGCTATGCACAATAGCACAATTTGTAAATAAATTTAGGGGATAATAAACATCTGTTTTTCTTTTGTATAATAGGTGGATTTTATTAATATGGTAAAACATATTAAGTACATTGAGTGATAATTCATTTTGGGAATATATTGAATGTACAAGTAACCAAAACTGTAAAGATCGTTTGAGATTTGTAATTGTCAATCAAGTCTCCGGAATTAAGAAACGAAGTACAAATTATAGTTTTGTCAGTACGTTGGAACTTTTTAATTTTGCATTATAACGAAAATTTTGGATCGAGGTGAGTTAAACAGTTTAAAAATTATGCTTGAAAAGCCGTTTTTTACCTTTAACCATACACTATTTAACTTTTTCTATCTAAATAATTATTTATTCAAATTATTTATTTTCGAAACTTTCTAATTTTAACTTAAATAATGATTAAAAATGATTTTCTTTAAATAAAGTATCAGGTGAAATATTCTCTACCTAAAGGCAATATTTTACAATCCGCAGGCTTTCTTGACACTGATCCGTGAGATGTCGCAGCAGAAGAAAGGTCTTGCAGCGGCGGAGCAACCCAGCGACGAACGCAAGCAACGTTGTTCCCTGCCGTGCTGCCGCGTTATGTAGAACGCTTGTCCCGTTGCCCAGTTTTAGAGACGATGTATTTTGAAAGAATTCGACATAGATTTTGAGAGCTTGCTCTGTATTAGCGATCCAGGAATTTCTGAACGCCCAATAAATTATAAGGATTTTGTTAATTTATTTTAAGTTTCGCGAACGCAGCTACAGCGACATTACAGTCGATCTATATATATACAATGAATTAAATTATATTATTTGAAAATAAATAGTAACGGTAAAAAGGATTCCACCCATACAAAGTTACTATTAAGTAGAATAATTTTATTTAATATAATTTACAACAATACTTATTGAAAGTCTTAAGCTTTAACCCTGGATCGTCAGATCTTCAGCTGTCAATTTATGCACTAAACTAATCTTGCTCGTTCCCACGGCGGCGAGTTGAGTTGCCGATTGCCGAATACGCGCGGGAGGGCAACACTTCGAATTTGATTCGCCGAAAAATAGACTGGCCGGCTATCCCGTTCAACTTAATTGCTACTATTCACTGATTGCCATTCAATCGAGATTTTTAACTTAACTCGCCAGATTTAGAAGTTATCTCGCTACTGTACTTGTCGAAATGTAAATCGGCCTTAACAGTTGTAAAACGCCTTTGATGTCAAGCGATGCCGCCGCCCGTGTAGAAGTTAATACAAGGACATATAAGTTAAAAAAATTTATTGAACAAGATCATTTTTTCAAAAGCTTTTATTTAACTTGCAATGTTTGTTAGGGTCAAATCTTGCAACTGAATTTTAAATCAGTTATCATCAGCCGATTGGGCTGAAATTGTAATTACTACAAGAAAAAACATTTTGCAAGTGCTGCACTGCCAAATATTTTTGCGAGACTTTGTTTTTATAGATGTTTTCAATTTTATATAATATTTCCCTCATTTTTTATAAACAATTTTATCAAAAATATGAGGGAAATATAACCATGGCCGTCATTTGAATTGAACTTCACTTAGTAATTCATATAACTATAACAGTAATTCACCATTAAAGAAGATATCATATTTTTCGAAAACGGCACTTAAAATTTGTTAAATAAGGACTTTAAAACACGCTCGCCTCCACCGCATGTATTGTCCAGCAGACCACAGAGTACTTTCTAATATACTTAGTGGAGTGCGCTGGCACAAGGTCGTGCCGCTCCGTAAAACCCTGCCGTTGCTCTGCACAAGTACATTAATTTTCTAACTGTTAAACTATTTCAACTGTGCTCTTATTCAACAAATTTTGCTTAATTAAAATTTTTTGATAGACCAGTTCCTGCATATTATCTGAGACTTTGTTGTAAAAGCGTATATGTAGGAATTAATTCGTTTCCACGAATTAATTATCCGAATAGTCTAGGATGAGCTAGCAGCGGAACACAACAAGTGAACCGTGCCACGCCAGAGCCATGACTGACTGCTCCGCCCGTTATACCCGTTGTTGCAAAACAAGCCGAGTAGTGAGGCGGTTGGGGAAACTGAGCGACGCGCCGGGCGGCGCGATCGGTGCACTTATTCTTTACAATTTTACTGTACCTTCTATGTACGACGGTCCGCCGTTATATACATTGCCCTAGGAAGGAATACTGAACTCTTTATAATCGAGTAAATGCTGTACCAGCGATATCATGGCGATTGAATATAGATAATTGAAGTCTGGATTTGTATTCAGTGGTAGGCTTACTTCAATTTGTTTGTAATTTTGCTCATCATCGTCTGTTATTTTTAATGGATTTTTTATTTTCATAAGACTCATTTTTGACCCGATTGTGGATTGGGTTCTTTTTGTTTGATTATGTCTAAATATTACGTGAAACCTAAAAATATCTGAATCGATTTCAGATACAGCAGTTACTCTTGGAAAGGCTGAACGGTTGCAACATGCTTAAAGTGAATTTTAGTAAAAAATCACATGTGAAATCGATTACTGTATTAAAATGTTGCTGTGCTTAGGCGAACACTTTATATTACAACAACTCACAAATGACTAAATAATATCGTATATAATACTGCTACTTGAATATAACGACTTTGAAAAAAAAATTAAGTAAACTAGCGAGGGCTAATATTATGAGGGTGACATTGAAAATTCTTAGAAAATCAAAAACTGAACAAACTAGCAAGTTATTAGTTCTATTACACGTTTTCAAAATTGTGTCCGTTTACATCAATACATCGCTGCATCAGATGGAACCAATGAGAAAAGTAATTTGCCTACTCGTCTTTAGGGATCTCTTCAACGGCATTTTGAAACACAGCCACTGCTTCCTCGTCGTCCATAAAAAGTTTTCCTCGAAGGTTTTGTTTTATTTTTGGTAATAAATGAAAATCGCAAGGTGCGAGGTCGTGGATATATGGCGGGTGACCCAGTAATTCCACGTCTGATGTCGTCAAGTAGTCGATTGTTTGCTTAGCGATGTGCAACGATGCGTTGTCGTGGTGAAGAAGGATCCTATTGCGAGGTCGTTTCTACCGAACTTTTTCCAAGACAAGTGGCAAACAATTGTTAGTGTACTACTCTGCAGTAACTGTTTTTCCATCCTCTAAAACAATTGTTGCGTAATGACCTGTCCTTCCGAAGAACGAGGCCAAAAGTAGTTGGCAACTCGGAAGAAAACACCCAGACAGCAGACTGTATCTTAGTTTCAGGATCCAGCTATAAATCCAGCTTTCGTCACCCGTAAGTATGTCGAACACAGCATTTGAGTCACCTCCGTTAAATCTTTGAACTATTTTCACGACGCCGATCAACACGACGGAGTTTTTGGACCTCCGTCAAATTATAGGGTATCCACCGGGCACAAAGCTTCCTGACCGCTAAATGTTCATGGAGGATTTTGTGCACTTGACCTATACCGATGCCTAAACTTGTCCGAATCTGCTGATAAATCACTCTTGTCAGTCTCTATTATACGCTGCACAACACTGATGTTATCGTAAGTCGTCGCCGTAGAAGGCTGTCCCTCACGCAGATCATCAGTGAGATTAGTGCGACCACGTTTAAACTCATAAAATCAGTTGTAAACAGCGGCACGAAAAGGGGCTCCATCGTGAAAGGCGAATCGAAATCTATCATAACTTTATTGTTGACTTAAATGACATCGAAAGTCATTAGAAATCATTGTACGAAAATTTTCTCGCGTTAAATTCATGCTGACGTGACACAGACAATTTTCAATTTACCGCCAAATCGTAAACAAATGACAAATTAAAATAATGCATACACAATAATATTGGCAAAGAGTTCCATTTTCAAAATTTGAACTAATTTTTTATTATATCGTTTACAAGTGGCCAGTTCTAAAAACTTTCAGTGTCGCCATCGTATTGCGCTCACCAGATGTAGCTTGTTGGCACTAGGGTGAACTTTTTGTTATGCATATGGGCCCACAGTGACGTCATCATTCATCGTCATCAAGGTTGCGTTTTAAGTTATTCTATTTCTAGTGTACGTTATATACAGGATACAATGCCTCAGTGCTATATTCTTTAGTTTTTTACACATTTTTAACTTTTTTTAATTCTACTTCTGGGAATATCCGTAGTTTGGTTTATCAACTTCTAATGTAAATAATATAAAATATAAAAAATATTTCAGACATAAATTTCTGCATTTTTCTTTAACAAATAACTTACTCCGCTATGAAATCTGGCAAATAGTAAACCTTAGTACTAAATAGCGCTACACTGGTGAAAGAAAAGTCGTGAATATTAACTTTCATTCTCGTCATTGATTTTAACTTGACGAAACTCATTCCACTGACATTGCCATGTTAAGTTTTTTTTATTAATCCTGTTACCATTATTTATAAATGAACAGTATTAAGTTATTTAAGTTTAGTCGTATATGATATTGTGTAAATAAATGAAATTGTATATGAGTCAGAAATTGGGTTTTATTTGCTCCTTTCATAAAAAAGTATATATTAAAAATAACAGTTCAGTCACAATACTATATATTAATATCATTATAGCCTAGCAAGGTATAAATTACATGCATTTTTATACATAAAAATTGAACATCAATAACAATAACAAAAATTACAATTCTTGAGTAAATAGAAAATATCCGGTTCATTTACTTATTCCAACTAAACTATACAAAACAAACAGAAATGTATTTTATTTCAAGATTGTCAGTAATCAAGATGCGGTAGAGATGGCACAATTGACGGTATTTATTTATTTTTGTAAAATTAATGTTATATTAAAACCGAGTTTTCGCCGCATGCCGAGAATGCAATGCTAGATCAAAATGGGTTTCTCTACTCAATCATCTTGGCGCGAAAGCTACCCATGGTACATGGTACTGCACAACCTGCGTGGTCAGAAACAGAAATAATTTTTTTATTCAATATAGATTAATTCATAAATAATACTTGTTGAAAGTCACTTTTTTGTTTAATGTATAACTGGTCCGGATAAAAACATCTGTCCTGGGAAGAATCAGTAAGAAATCCAGCGTTTTTTTGAAAAAAAGAACAGCTTACAGTCATAGCGCTACACAATTAACCTTTTGAGCGCACGTCACAAACGCATTCCCGACAAAAATACCTACGAAAAAAATTGTGTTGCCAAGAGTTCATATATCGGTAACACACAATGACTTATTTTTGTTGGTTTTTTTATGCAATAAATAACTAATTATAATCTGGGATGTTGTTTTATTTAATCTTGTGCTATCTCTCACTCTTTGTATGTATGTTGTTTGTACATAAATAAAAAAAAACATTTCAAATAAAATAGTAGTAAACCGCAGTACTACTCTCCATTGTGATGACGTCATTGTCACGACTGGACGACAACGGCGCGGCGCCCAGTGAACTATATAATAATAATCGATGTAGTGCTAAGGATTAGAGATGGGCCGAATATTCGTTCCATATTCCTTATTCGGCATATTCGGCAGCCTTACCGAATATACGTATTCGGCCTAATATTCGGCAAAATCACCGAACATTCGGTAAAGTGTACTCAAAGTGTCCACTGTATTGAAATGTACGAA